CTGATTTGATTTGATTTATTCAGTCAGAAATATTAATCAGCATAATATAATCAATGAAACATTACATTTAAAGTGACTGAAAAGGCTCAGGCAGAAGCAGATTGCTATATTTATGCCTGTCCTTTTTAACCAGTTAAACAAATTAATCTACCCATTAACACATAAAATCTGTAAAATTTGAGCAAAAAATAGGAAAGCAAAAGAAGAGAAATATACACAATTTAGTCTAATAAACCCCAATACTCTTGGATTTACAACAAAACTTATAAACTATTGAAACCCTGAAAAAAATATCTTCTAAACCATCCTTTTAAACAGCAGAAATGTACCACAAGTTCGTAAATTTACACTGGCATTATTCACCACAGATATAGATTTCCTTTTAATTTTTTTTTTGCCAAAGGAACAGTAACTTTTATCTCTAAAATCATTCTTTGTTTCTACAGAAGAAAAAAAAACTTTGCATAATTAGCAGAAGTAATTTTAATTTTGCTTTATACATTATTTGTATTATTTTATAGTATAGAAAATCATAAAATTTCATGACATGTGCTTTTACAAACAAAGGATGTGTATGTGTAATAATAATACTTTTCTTACAAATTGCATCTTTGATTAAAAACATGTTTCTAGTAAGTAAGTAAATAAACTTTTACTTACTTACTTACTTACTTTGATTAAAAACATGTTTCTAGACAACATTTTTATGAATCCTACTAAACCCTGCTGCTGTTCACCTGTGCAGGTCTGGCTCAGTACAGCGGTGACCCCCGGATCGAATGGCATCTCAATGCCCACACCACCAAAGAGGCTGTGATAGATGCTGTGAAAAACCTGCCGTATAAAGGAGGGAACACGCTAACAGGTACAGGGAAAGTCTAAATCTACCCTTCAGATGCTGAGCTTATCTACATAGACACAGTCACAAAAGAAGACACTCGGCGGTGTTGTTAGACTTTAGCCTTCAGTTAATTAAATTCACTTCAGTGCATTTCAGGTTGGTTTTTATGGAATTGCAACCTTACAAATCACCCCCAGCAAATAAGACAACCGAGCGAATCGGACGGTCAGCAGCGATTGGTAAATGTTTCTATAAGGGTTTATGGAAGGAAATGACAAAATAATCGAAGGACTGTCTGTTTTGCTTCTTTTCAATTTGAGACATCAAATTGTGCATTTGTGATCAAGCTTTAAATACTTCTCCGCTTCTCCTCTTTGTACTGCTGCTTCATGGTGGAAGCGTGTGCTGCAGTGTTTTGGATGTACAAGTGCTTGCAAACAGCCCAATGTGACAACAACGAAAGGTGGTAGTGGGATTCAAAAGGATAGCTCACACTTTTCCCTCCCCCACGTTAGAGAAGCAGTGCAGCTGGTGAAAACAGCTAAATATGTTCTCGCTGATCTTGCATGAGTCGTGGACACAGCCGGCATAATTAAAAAGTCTAACAAATGACTCTGTTTGTGAGGAGGCTGAAAAATGCTGGTTTCTCTGTTAATTTCCTTCTGCTGGTGTGAGTTGGAGGTCATATTGATCGTTTGTAGCACTATTGGAACTGCTCTGAGGCTGACAAAAGGTGCTATGAAGAGTGGTTGGATCTGCTTCGTAGACAGTGGTCCCCCTTCTCCGGAGGACATCAGGCCTTCAGGGTATATTTACCAGAACTTGAAGGCATGCCCGTGCCTCCGTTTCCAATTTTCGATCCATTTCAGGACCCAGCGGAGTTCCTGAACTGGGGTACATGCTCGAAGTGGTCCGGTAGAGTTGCTGATTGGTTGTAACACAGCAGGACATGGAATTGGCAGCTGTCACCAAAACAACTGGCACTTAAAATTTTCTGAAATTGGAAGAATTGCTGTTGAAGCAGAATAGAAGGGAAAGAAAATAAGCAATGTTCACGTTTTTTTTAAATCAGCTTTTCTGAACTCCCGATGCTGAAAAAGGTGGTGGAATTTCCTCCACAACTCTGTACTTCACGGTGCTCTGACGTCTCATGGAGCGACGTAAAGTACAGCGCTTCTTCTGGTCACTAAACGGCAACTTTTACATCACACTCTCCCAGCCAACCGAGTTGATTAAATTATGGATTATTTGACAGAATAAAACCTATTAAATTCTAATAACGTTTGTGGATGACCTTTGGCGCCGATCACAACAGCTGCAACGGCCAGTCATCGTATCACTTTTCCCTCCTAGAAGTTTCCCTGAACTCCAATAGTGGAAACACGGCTATTGACTCCATCAGAAGAAGAACCAGAGCAAAAATCTCACCCATCGAGCCCATGTCCTATTCACCTTCCTGCCCTGTCAAAGCTTGGACAACACTGGGAAACAGCATTTTTACCCGAGTCTGCACACTGTCTCTTATTATGAGCTATGAATAAATAAATTTGAGTTTATCCATTAATGCATTTTTCAAATTAGAGGTCTCTGAGGTAGCAGGTCCAGGATTTAAGTCCAAGAATCCTTCTTGCCAACAACACCGTCCAGTTCCTTTGGAGGGTGTTCGCAAGCCAGAGAGGATAAATAATCCCTCATGTAAAGTTTGGGTCTATTCCAAGGTCTCTTCTCAGTTTGTGCGTAGAAAAGCTTAAGTGGAAGGCAGCCAGGAGGTATCCTTGTCCAATGCCCGAAACACGCACCAAAGCAGCAGCCCTACGTCTTTCACTTCTTCTTCCGGTCACAAATCCAAACAGTGTGACCACTAGTGAGGGGTTGGCATGTCCATGCACCAGAAAATAAATGGTTTTGTCCTTCCGGGCTCTTCTTTCACACGACAAAGCAGAGCCATTCCCTCATTAAGATATGTATTTACTAGAAGTTGGCCTGACTAACACATTATATTCTCCCACATCCAACACGGCTTCTATTTAATTAGAATGTGTTTCTCAGAAAGTTGCATCGATATTCAAGGATTCGACTAGAAGTTGGTGAAAACCGTTGATGGCATTAAAGAATACAAAAAAACTCTGGCTGCTTATTAAGTTGTCACACTCCGGAGACCGAAACCTTGTCAAGCTAACGACGACACCTCCGAGTCGTTAGCTTTAAGTGTTTTCCTGAAACTCTTCAGGTGCTTCCTTGGTTCTGACACATTTTATCTTTTCTTTTACTGCACCTCAGAGGAAAACTGAAAGCAATAAAACTGTCATCCGGAATTTGAATCGTCTTTAAAACATCTCTTTATAAAATATTAAGTGGCTCTAACTTTGTCATTTTAACAGTAGATGTCACTTTGTCAAGCAAATGGTGACTTTAGGGTGTCAAAATAAAGATTGTTTTCTTTCTATAGACTGAAGACTGCCTTTTTTGTGTGGTATTCTGCTGGTTTTGTATTCAGCGTTAAAATGGAATTGGTCTAGCAGGAAGCTGTTGAGAAAATAACAGATTTTTCCAATTTAAAAAGGAGAGTAGGCCAATTATTTAAACTTTCAGCAAAGAGAATAAATTTCTTAAACAAAAGCATTGATTTAACCGCGTTGTTCTTTACTTTTAGTATGTCCGTTAAACGCATTACAATAACAATCGGGTCATAGATTCTCTGCGTCTGTCTAACAAGATCCACTTTAAACTCTAATGAATTAAAGTGTGTCAAACTGTTTTAGCTCTGTAATGCATCTCTGATGCCCCCTTCTCCTCCTCTAGCTTCTCCAACATCGTTTCATCTGTCCGTCCTACTTTCTGTCAGGATTTTCCTCTTCTTTTCATCTTCCCTCTTAAAAAATGTTTATTAATCAATATTGTTGTCTTAATTCAACGGATCCAAGCCCGACTTTCTTCTATATAAACCAAATTAACTGAAGCCACTAAACTATAGTTGTTATGAACCATTTTAAGGTTTAAAGAGTGCTCCAAATAATCCTCCTTTTGGAAATAAAGAACAAGGGATCTGGGGTTTGCTCAAATAAAAATTGGCGACGGACCACATCCAGCAATTGTGAACACCAAATGGTGTCGAAACCCGGTCTCCCAGGCCAAGTGAGGAAATATTCAGATTCATTTTGCTATTTTAACTTGTTTCACTGTTGAATTAATTAGTTAATACACTTGTTTTAATATGATTGATTCTTTAATTTCTCAACTCTCCCCAAAAATTGATCAAACACTAATTAATTGTGATCTATTCTACTTAAATTGGCCTTCATGCTACAGGCAATAAAGTTCATTTATTGTATTAATTCAACTTAAAAGGTGAAACTAATATTTAACATGTATATTACATGCAAAAGCAGATATTGCAAGCATTTTTTTGTTATAATTGTGATGATTATGGCTTACAGATTTGTATAATTATTCATAATTTTACAATTTTCTGGAAGCTATTTACATATTTACAGCAGGTAAGATCATTAATGTTTACATTTTTTTACGCAGATATTACAAAAACACCATTTAGTTCACTGACCTCTCTTGCATATCATTATTAAATTATGCACAGTGGAGAGACACTCAGACCAGCCCGTTCTTCACCAGTCTTTGTTTGCTGACGAAACGGCAGCACTCTCATGCTGCAGCGTCTGCCGCCTTTGTAACAGGAGACGATTTTTCATCAAACCTCTCCTTCGCCTCATTGTGCTGTCGTCTTCCTTCATCGCTTTCAGAAGCAGCTTCTTATATTCACTGCCTGTCTGTCACTGAAAGGCAACAATGGCCACCTCAGTGTCTTTGTCTTTGTTTCTCTGTGTGTGTTTTAAAAACGTTGCACCTGCCAGGTGATTTGAGTGGTGGTTTGGCTGACAGTGAAATCACTACAAAGCCTGCTTGCGTCTCAAAGCATCAAAGATATGGTATATTGCAGAATTTGGGTAAACTGTTGAAGTGTCTTATGAAAATTGTCTATTAGAATATTAACTTTTTATTATCAGATATTAAAACAGTCTGATGACCCCACTTCCTGAACCTAAATCAGATTTTCCATTCAAGAAATCCCTTAAAACCCCTTGAATTTGCTTAACTGTGTTTATGTTTGAGGGAACCATGTGTCTTTGATACATAATAAAATATTTAATCTGTTAATTTTTCTGTTGTGTCTCACTTGTCCAGGTTTGGCTTTGACCTACATCCTGGAAAACAGTTTCAAAACTGAATCTGGGTCCAGACCCGGCGTTCCCAAAATAGGAATCCTCATCACTGATGGGAAATCCCAAGACGACGTGATTCCCCCCGCACAGAGCCTGAAGGATGCCGGAATAGAATTGTTCGCTATCGGTATGATTAATCAATAAATGGGGAGAGAATTAATAAACATCAAACTGAGCTCGTTCAAGATAAAGCCACTTCAGTTTCCTTTGCACTGCGTCAGTATTTGTAGACAAATAAATCAAAAAGCACAAAAATGTTCCTATTTGTGTTTAAGTGATGTAGTGATGTGCAGTCAGTATCATACCTGCAGTAGACTGGAGCAATGAGGACTTAAGTGTCAATAATTAAGATAATTTCTTGTATGGGACTGAAGCTAATTGCTAAGAGGGACTTCCCTTCATCTGAAACTTTCACATATATTGAAGCTTTTGGAAACTTTCAAGACTTTTGCATCAGGTGATAATTAGCATGAGGGGCTAAGCTATAACTGCTCCTGTTTACAGTTGGAAAAGTCCTGTAGTCATATCTAAAATGGGTACCCTCGAGAAGTAACTTGCACATGTGGCAGAAGGTGATTCCCCATTTCTGCCACCTACAGATATAGATAACCTAGACCAGGGGTGTCCAACCGTTACAAGACGAGGGCCAAAAGGATCCAAATTAATCCTCCTCAGTGACCAAATTATTAATATTTTTTTTATATATGCAAAAAAATGTATGGTGATAGTTTTTCATAAGTCCAAATAAAGGCATATTAGTAAAAAAAATAGGAACACAAAAAAGTTAGTTGATTTACATTAACAGGTGACTTGAGAGACTTGAATTGGTGGCCACACATCAGTTCTCAGAGGCCCTGCCATACTTTGGACATGCCATCTTGACAATTTTGTGGTCAACTAGTCCATTTTTTACTGGTATTTTTTAATTGTATTATTTTTAATTTTTTATGATAAACTTGTAAAACTATTTAAAATTAAAACATATTTTCATAGTAGATATTATGTAATAAAATATTATTTATTTGTAAAATTTGTATAACGATATCAATAATCTTTTTTCAATTTTCAATTAAGAATTGAAAAAACATCTAGGCTAAATTCAATTAAAGGTTAGGGTTAAATTAAAATGTGCACCTAACAAAAGTGCAGGATTTAGGATATAAGAAACAAAACAAATATGTTGCATTTAATCACATAACTTCTAGGAAAGAATATACATCGAAGCTTGAAATGCAAATAATCTGACTGATTTGAAGTCTCTCTGTGCAGCAGGGACTTTTTTCCTGGGTTTTGTACATTTTTCTGACACATGCACAGCGTTTGCCGAACAGGAATTACACATATGTGAATCGTTTTAGGTAAATTCTCATTTCAGATCCCTCATTTATTTAGCTTCATTCATCTTTTATATCTTTCTTTCCCAAATTCATCAAACTGATTTTCAGTCCTGCATTCTGCCGATCGAACACATCACAGAAACCCACTCAAACGAATTGGAACAGTCAATGCTACATTTTTAGTTTCTTACAGCAAATAGTTCAAAACATTTAGATTTAAGTAAAAGTTGCATACGTTCTGCTACAGAGCCCACTTTGAGTCATATATTTTCTGTAAAAGTAAATGAAATGGCGTCTACATCGGTCTACGTGTTGCATCATCAGAAACCCATCTCGGACACCTTTCATGTGTTTTCGCTTTGCCAGTCTGAATTTTCTCCTCTTCATCTCCTCTCTTCTTCCTCCAGGTGTGAAAAATGCTGACGAGAATGAGCTGAAGTCCATCGCCTCTCCTCCGGAGGCAACCCACGTCTACAACGTTGCTGACTTCAGTGTGATGAGTGACATAGTAGAAGGGCTCACCAAGACGGTCTGTGAACGAGTGGATCAGCTCGACAAACAGATAAAAGGTTTCACTCTGGAAAACGGCCACGTTTAATTTACATTTTTAAGAAAGACGATAAAGCGGGAACGATGACGTATTTTGTTTTTTGACATTGGTATTGTGCAGGAGGAGGAGAGCCTGCCCCACCTCCCACCTCCATAGCTCCTCCCCGTGACCTTGTGACCTCTGAGATCACAGCTCGCAGTTTCCGTGTGACGTGGACCCACGCATCAGGCAATGTGGAGAAGTACCGCGTGGTCTACTATCCTGCCAGTGGAGGACGACCAGAAGAAAAGGTTTCCAAGTTCAGACTTTTCGTTAGCTTTACTTCGACTTAGTAAACTTTTTAAATTGTGAGTCTAAGATGGGCAGCTTTGGAGCTTTAAAGAGAAATTTCACTTAGAAAACTCTTTCTTTTTATTTTTGAAAAAGGATCCGTCGCTCTTAGTTGAACATGCAGGCTAAACTTGAAAATAGACTTCCGTATTTCCTGCATTAGCCGCCAACAGAAAATAAATGTGGAAAACGCTCCGAATAAAACAGCCAGTGACGTTAGCACATAGCATCGTCAAATTGGCTTTCACGGACTTGTCCGACCGAGGAAGGCTGTAGTTGGTTTGTCCTCCAGAATTGAAGAAGATAACGTCTTGACTAGCAGAAGCTAACAGTTAGCATCAGCAACTCCACCACATGGCAGAACTCCCCCTGGCTTGTGCTAATTGTGGAGATAAAACATCAATAGCCCTATTTCCATTACTGGTGTCTGTACCAGGTCTGCTCGGGGTCCTGCGCCTGCTGATGACATCACATACGGCAAATCCACTTGGCTTTCACTCATAAGTTTTGGAAAGACATAAGCAGTTTTGTTAATACATTCTTGTTATTTACCACCTAAAGGTTTTCTTTATAATTGTAATTTGTTAATAAAGCACCATATTATCTGTGTTTTGTAAAGAATGTGAAATGACATAAAACCAACATCAGACTGACAAAAAGGACAACAGTTCTTATATGTGAAGCCATTTGGGGTCACCGTTTATCATTTTATTTTCTTTGGAAATTCAAACACATTTTCTCTGAAAAGTGTTGATTGTTGGACTACAGGACTACAACTGCTAGGACTACAACTGTTAATTCCTGCTGACCAAGCAAAATCTTTATTGTCAACAAGCTAGCGTAACTTTTACAAACGTGGTACCATAACTGCTGTAAGTGTTATGGTTAGCCAATCATCTACTGTGATGTATTTGGCAAACGTAGGACCCCGAGCCGATTTGGCTGCCCGAGCAGATCTGGTACCGACACCGGTACTCCAGGGTGGGTCCTGGGATGGGGAAGTTGACCAGGAGATAGGATGTCCTAGTTCTCTCAGCTTTTGTGTCTCCATTCAAAGGCAGACTCCCCTACTTTGTTTAAATGTCACCTTTTTTCTGTGGCCTTCCATTGAAGTGGTTGGTTTTCACTACGACATTTACAAGGTTGCTAGAATTTGTGTTATCTCTTTCTTTCCTAAATGATTTTATTGTACAGCCCTTTGGCGCACGTCGTTTTTTGTTAGTGCTTTATAAATAAATTGGATTGGATCAAATTCAGCTCTTTCAGAACTTTGCACAGACGTCTGCATATTGAGACTGCTTTGGCAGTGAGTGATGTCACTGATCAGCATCACAAAGTCCACAGTATTGATAATATTAAAAGCATTTATTCCGTCAAAGTGTATCACAATTTTATCCATTCAGAGGACGTAAGCAGCTGTGTGATGTAGAATATGGTGCTCAGTGACCAGATGAAGTGCTGTTTTTTACGGTGCTCTGTGAGACAATAAAGAAGAAGAAAAGATCTTCTCTGTAGCGCCTCTCAAGATAAAAATCATGAGGCGCTTCACAACAACAAAAAATGTAAAAATATAAAAAAAGAGTTTAGAAAATGATTAAAAATATATTTAAAATGAGGAAAGAATAGACAGTTGTGATTAAAATCGAAAGAAAGAGAGAGAGTGAATAGGAAAGAGGGAAATTAGTGGATCCGGAGGAAGGTGGAATAGGTGGGGAGAGCAGAACAAGGAGAGGGTGATGAAGGTCACACCAAAGCCTGAACAAGTGAGTTTTCAGCTGCTTTTTAAAGGAGACCACTGAGTCCACTGATCTCAGCTCAGGGGGAGAGAGGTCCAGAGCCTTTTGCTCTTTAAAGTGCAAGTCACCCCCTACCAGAGTTTTACTCCGCTCCCACTTCCTGTTTGAAAAATGCAACAAATGCTGTTGCCAGCAGACCGAGAGGGCGGAGTCGCTAACAAACACACACACACACAGGCTCACAACGACACTGTGACATCATGTGGTACCAGCTAACGTTCTAGGGTACCACTTGGCCAATAGCGATGGCAGATTTAAATTCAAACGCAGAGGATCAGTGCTGCTATTTGTTTTCTCAGAGGCATCTGCATGATAACTGGGAAGAATTGGTCATCTGGGAATCATAAAGTCGTTGGTTGTCAGGGATTATTTGGAAGAGGAATGAACAACTAAAGCATCACCATACAAAAATAAAAGAAAGTAATATTTGACGTCATCCAGCAGGATTCAACCTGTATTTTCGAGTAGATTCAAACCGTTGCGAGTCTCTAAACTTAGTATTCAGTGGTGCGTCACTGTAATTCTTTGACTTTGTCCCCTTGCCTTTTCTTTAATGTAGTTTCACTTTGATGTTATTTAAAAGCCTGTTTTCCCCCGTGAGGAGTTCTAACACTAATCTGACATAGTTACTCTATTTAAATCTCTCTGGAGAAAAGCCAGCGCCTCCAGCCACATGTGCTGTGTTTTAGATCTTGTCATATGCAGATGAAGATGAAACAAAAAACACTTTTGACGTTGTTTTTCTTAAAAAAAGAAAAAGAAAGAAAAGTTAATATTAAGTTGCACCTTAAACTAAGATTGTATATTCAAATTTTGAAGTTTGACTTCATTTCCTCGCTGTTTATTATCCTGGGGTGAGAATTAACCCATGAAATGGCTTTAGTAGATTTCCTACAGGTAAAAGGACTACATTTGAGTATGTCTGAGCGCTCGGCTGAAGTAGACATGCTGCTTGTCGTCCAGGTGGTCCCGGGCACGGTGAACAGTGTTGAGCTGGACTACCTCAACTCCCTGACAGAGTATCAGGTGGCCGTGTTTGCCGTCTATCGCAGCTCTGCCAGTGAGGCTCTGAGAGGAAGCGCCACCACGTGTAAGTTGAAACACGCCATAAGCATTAACCTTTCATTATTTGTGTCAATCCTTTGTTTTCTACATCCAAGCACAGCAATCATTTCTTATTGCTTATGCATGAAATCTTTTATTTTAGAACAATGTTTAAAATGTCTGAAATGTGCTCCAATAGCTGACCAGAATGTCAACGGCTGGTGTTTACCTTGCAGAGGAGGAAAAAAGGAATCTGTCTTTCACGGTGATGGTTGGGTACACACACCAGAGACTGGTGCAGGAAACCAGACGGAGAATACATCCGTCACAGCCAATCACCACTCTTATCTAACTTTAAAGTGGTGTTTGCTATCGCCACACTAGGAAAGGAGTACAGATGTTATCTAAAGCACTTTACACCCAAGAAAAGCATGAATGACTATGGCACACAAGAGATTGAGAACCTGCCTATAGTCAGCAGCGTGAACGGTTTTAGTGATCCAGTGACCCGTGGCGGTGAGAGAAACAGGAAGATGTGTGGGGTGGAAAGCCAAAAGGGTCATAATTTTGCCACTACGACAAACCCTTCTGCCACTATTAAATGCGTTTTAATAAATCCATCCATCTATTTTCAGCCGATTATCTGGAGTCGGGTCACGGGGGCAGCAGCTTAAGCAGAGAGGCCCAGACTTCCCTCTTACCAGCTACTTGGGCCAGCTCCTCCGGGGGAATCCCAAGGCGTTCCCTGTCCATCTGAGAGACATATGGGCCATTCCCATCTGTACCGGGTCGGCCCGAGCCGGGTAGCGTAGGTTGTTTACATATCTGGGTGGCCTGGTATTTTTCCGGGCCAACCAAGGCTCATTCTCAGCCCTCTTCTCGAGGGGGTCTGCTTCAGGCCGACCAGGGCCAACACACCCACTGGTGACAGCAAACTCACACCTTCCATTAGAGCAAGCCTCTGATTGGTGGGTAGAATCAGCCCACATGGGCTTAAGGCAAGGATGTGTGGAATCAACCGGGCCAGGCTGGGGCCGACTGGGGCTACCCGGCCCGGGCCGACCCGGTACAGATGGGAATGGCCCAATAGTCCCTCCAGCATGTTCTGGGTCTTCCCTTGGGTCTCCTCCCAATTGGACGTGCCCAGAAAACCTCACCAGGGAGGCGTCCAGGAGGCATCCTGACCAGATGCTCGAGCCACCTCAACTGGCTCCTCTCGACGTGGCGGAGCAGCGGGTCTACTCCGAGCCCCTCCCGGATGGCCAAGCTTCTCACCCTATCTCTAAGGGAGAATCCAGCCACGCTGCTGAGAAAACTAATTTTGGCCGCTTGTAACCGCAATCTCATTCTTTTGTTCACTACCCAAAGCTCGTGGCCATAGGTGAGATTGATAGGCGGATCGGTGCTGTGTCTGCAGTGATGCGGGCGATCTGTCACGTCGAAGAGAGAACTGAGCCGGAAGGCAAAGCTCTCGATTTACTGATAAATCTACGTTCCTTCCCTCACCTATGGCCTTGGGATTCCCCCGGAGGAGCTGGCCCAATTACCTGGGGAGAGGGAAGTCTGGCCTCTCAGCTTAGGCTGCTGTTCCCGCAACCCGACTCCGAATGTGTGGTTGAAAATGGATGGATGGATGGATGTAGTCTTATGATTTGCTGTTTATATATGTGCGCGTGTGTGTAAGACTTACTTGACCATAAGACATGAGAAATAAATAAATGAGAGACACTCATGCATGCTCTGTGATTGACATCGGTACGTAAGTGGACGCCATTGGCTAATGCTGAGCGGCGCTCCATTCTAATTGCATGGGGCTTTTGTAATAATCACTTGAGCTTAATACATCACGGGTTTTCCGTGGGACAGGAAACTCGAAACAACAAAATTTAAAATGGACTTGAATTGTCGTTTATCCCTCGAAGAGACACATGGTCTGTTCGTGACTCTTAATTACAAACCCGGTGATCGATATGTGACACACGATAACACAAAACTCCAGATCTGAGCCAAAACAGCAGCTCAGGGGATCTGTTATGTATTCCAGTCGTGGTTTTACACACTGACAGGTAGCCTGTGGCTGGCTCTAATTCTGAAAGCGTAGCCTGAGGGTCTGTAGTGATAGCTGTACACTGAGCCAGAGCCAGGAAGGATTTTCTGTCCTCATTCACCGATGACAGATTCCTCCCTCCTGGAGGATGAATACCAGCCTTAAAACAAAGCTAGTGGTTATTTGTAGCATAAAAATGTCCTTAATGGGGGCTGATTTTGGAGGGAATCTCCTAAAGTTTTAAAAATATGCATTTATGAATTTTTGGTTACTAGTTTAACAACTTTAGTGTTAAGTTTCTAAATAAAATCTGATTTATAGTAATTTATTCTGGATTGTATCATGATATAATTATATAATTTTCCAGATTATATTTCATTATCAACAAAAATACGTCTTCTTGTAGTAGAATTGGTCTGAATGTTTGTGCAGTGGCCCTGCCCATGGTGAACGACCTGGAGCTGTACGACATCACTCACAGCACAATGATGGTCCGGTGGAAGACCGCCGTCGGAGCTACGGGGTATATGATTCTGTACGCGCCGCTGACGGAGGAAGAACCTGGAGATGAGAAGGAGGTAAGAAGTTTGTGCAGCTTCTAAAAGATGAAGTTCTTCTGGTGGGGATCCAAAAGGTGTTGGCCCAGCTGCAGCATTTGTTGGGCTGGGGGGTTGCCGTGGAAGGTGTCATAAAGGAAATGAGTCCAACAGGGAGTGTTTGTCAAATCACAGTTTATTCACTGTCTCACTATTTTGCGGTTTTGTTGAGTTTGTTGGCTCTCTGGGGGCCCCTCTTGGCCCCCGGCAACTGCCTGCCCTGCCTGTTGGCGTGCAGCGCCATTGCACATGGCTAACTGTGATTAGTGAGACATCATGAACATAAAGTAAACATTATTTTTACCAGTGTCTTAATTACAGAGATGTTCTCTCCATACCAGCAGTTTCTCAACTATTGTTTTAGAATCCAACATATCAGCAATATAAGAGAAACCAGTTGTAGGGGGATGTGTGGTTTTGTTGATATTTAACTTGTTTAAAAGGAAAAGTCCCCGATTCACACTAATTATATAAGAGGTAAATGGTAAATGGTCTGTATTTGATATAGCACCTTCTAGAGTCCTGGAACCCCCCAAGGCACTATACAACACAATCAGTCATTCACCCATTCACACACACATTCACACGCTGGTGGGGATGAGCTACGATGAAGCCACAGCTGCCCTGGGGCGCACTGACAGAGGCGAAGCTGCCGAGCACTGGCGCCACCGGTCCCTCCGACCACCACCAGCAGGCAACGAGGGTTAAGTGTCTTACCCAAGGACACAACGACAGCGACTCGAACCTGCAACCTTCCCATTACAGGGACGAGAGCTTAACTCCTGAGCCACCGTCGCCCGCCAAGTAAAAATATTATCTTGCAGGAAGCTAACATCCACAATGGTTAGAAATGGAAATAGGCAGTTGTGGTTTTTTTTTCCAGTTTTTTTTTCTAATTGACCAGTTCACCTGTTTTACCACCTGTGAGGAGGATAACTAGATATAAAATTGTCAAATTCAACTAAGAGCAATAAACAGATGTTTGCATTCACATTTATTATAAGTACAATATAACATTTGAGATGAAGGCAAATATGACCACATTGCATCATTTAAAAAAAAAGAAAAAACAAAACCAGACTGACACATTAAAAAAAGCTATTTCCAGACATTCACATACAAAACCGAACACCGACAGAGTTATTAAAACGTGGAGCTGCGTGCAAGTTATTAACGGTGATTCGTTTATGAAAGAGGAGGAAGAGAGGTGTAAAAGGCACAGCCAGCGCTCCGTTTCCCTTCCCATTAGACCTCATTATACCTGCCTTCTTGCTCCCCTGCAGGTAGAAAGTAACAAAAACAGTTGAAGAAGGGATTCAAAGTCAGGATGGATGCTTTCCAGCAGCAAAGATGTCTTTGGCTCCGGGGCTGTAATGTCACGGCCTGAGCTTGGCTGCATTCGGCTCACGTGGGTTCCATTTGCAAGGCCATTTGGGAAGAGCGCAGTTCGATCCAGGGCCAGTTTGTCCAGACAGAGCTAACGGTGGTACACAACAGATGGAAACAGAGAGAGGAAGATGCCACGGACAGAGGCAATGACTATTTTTATCCCATAAAAGAAATAAAAAAAAAACACAAAATGATCGTAACAGAAAAGTTGTCTCGCTTTAGAACTGGCAGGTAGATCCATACTTTCATGTTGCTTCCTCCAAAATCCACCCTGACCTTCTGACTGTTGCAGATGATATACGACGCATCAGAGCAGGATTTTGTTTTCGTTTTAGTAAAACAGCTGCTGCTAAGTTCACCAGAGATAGCATTCTGCAGACCTTAGCTGTAACAAGTGGTTATTTGAGCTACTTTTCCCTTTTTGACCCAGTCTGCCCATACTCCCCTGACCCCTGACATCAACAAGGCGGTTTCATCTAGACAACTGAATCTTACCGGGTGTTTTCTTTTTTTAAACCATTCTCCTTAACTCATTCACTGCCAGCCGTTTCCTGATCAGAAAGCTCGACTGCCAGCATTTTTGAGTGTTTTTACTGGTTTTTGAAGAGTCACTGAACATTGTGCTCTGTGATCATCTAGATGCCAAAACAAAGAGTAGACTCACTTCTTACAACAGGATGAATCCGTGTGTTTCTAGCGTTATCCGTTCTTTCATAATCTGTTGTCCAATTGTGAGCTTCAGTAGCTTTTCCGGTTCACGTTTTTTTTTTCACATCAGTGGCCCAAAACGATCTCCTAATTCATGGATTTTCTGCTTCCTGATCACGTGATGTGTGACATAAGCGGATGAAGATCAGCTTTAGAGACGTGATGTTTAGAATCACAGTGCGGGGGCTCATTCCAATGCCTACCCCATAAAAAAAAGATGACTTTAGTCATCAATGGCAGTTAATGAGTTAAAGTAGTAATTTGAAACCCTTTTTACCTTATATTAGTTGTTGAATTCAGGCAACTTAGGGTGTCTAGTGTAGCAAACCCAAAAACCTGTTTCGTCACTGATCTGTGTAAATTAGTATTGTTGAAATGGCTACAGAGAAAAGCTGGTTTAACACAAACACACCATCTTAATTTGCTTGTCCCAGCCCACGTCCATGTTGGGAGTTTATAAACTTTAGTTGTGGTAATGCTTACCGCAGAACAACGCTAACCTGAGCGACTGCAAATGCTAGCTCGAGCTGTTGCTAAGAGTAGCCCGACCTAATACTGTCAGGTGAGATTGGCTGAGCTGAAGTGTAGCGGAGGTTGCTTGTAGCGTGGCTGTGTGACCCAGACGCGGATTGGCTAGCATTGGGTTGAACAGAGCATGCGGCTTTAATCTGGGAACGGCGACGCAGCGCTCGGAAAGAGCCGAGACTGAGCGGCAGTTCCGGATAAACAAGGAAGCTGACTTACTGGTGGTAGGCAGCGAGGAAAGATCTCTTTCCTGGTTTGAGGGCTGGTGAGCCTGAGAACTCGGGTCGATGTCTGGCATGAACGATGACTGAGTGATGTCTCAGCGGCAGCACTTCTGTAAATAGAGTCGGCGTGATGATGTCGTCGAGCCACGCCGGTGATGGGGATGCTGGGTAGTGTAGTGCTCTGCCTGTTGGTTCGGTAGGGGGTGGTCAGGAGGAGGAGTTTGTGAAAAATACGACAGCTAGCTCGAGCTATTGTTAAGGGTAGCCTGACCTACTGCTAATGCTAGCTCAAGCTATTGCTAAGGGTAGCCCGACCTACTACTAATGCTAACTCAAGCTATTACTAAGGGTAGCCCAACCTACTGCTAATGCTAGCTCAAACTATTGCTAGGGGAACCCCAATCTACTGCTAATGCTAGCTCAAGCTATTGCTAAGGGTAGCCCGACCTACTGCTAATGCTAGCTTGAGCTATTGCTAAGGGTAGCCCGACCTACTGCTAACGCTAGCTTGAGCTATTGCTAAGGGTAGCCCGACCTACTGCTAACGCTAGCTCAAGCTATCGCTAAGGGTATAGCCCGACCTACTGCTATTGCTAAGGGTAGCCCAGCCTACTGCTAACACTAGCTTGAGCTATTGCTAAGGGTACCCCGAGCCCGACCTCCCGCTAACGCTAGCTCGAGCTATTGCTAAGGGTAGCCCAACCTACTGCTAACAATAGCTCAATTTACTTCTATTGCCAGGCCAAGCTACTGCTAACATTAACCTGAGCTACTGTTAATGCTAGTCTAAGCTACTGCTTGGGTGAGGAAAACAACAGAGAAGAATATTGGAGACCCTTTCTCATCCTGGGTTGTCCTGGGAATATCCAGACTTTGACTGAACAGTTGTATCCAAAACTCGCTGTCCTTGTCCTCTTCCTTATTTGTCCACATCTCCCCCCACCCGAATATTCCACGGATACTTACCTCCTTGTTTGTCCGTAAACCCCCGCACCACAACCCGCTGACACTCAGCAGTTTCTGAAATACCTGGACCAACCTATCTGACAGCAACAACCAGTAGTTGTCCACTCTGATGCTCAGTTTGCTTTAATCTGATGCCATGTAGCCTTCTGGTTAAATATTTCCGTCAGTGCACCCCAGGGCAGCTGTGGCTACATCGTAGCTCATCACCATCAGCGTGTGAATGTGTGTGTGAATGGATGAATGATACACTGTCGTGTAAAGTGCTTTGGAGTCCTTACTCTGAGAGACGCTATACAAGTGCGGGTCATTTATCATTTATGTTAACAGGTAATTAAAAGCCTAAAAAAGTGGCCTTTGGTTTAATAGAAGAGCACATTGATGTTTTGCATGTTTACATTTACAGGTGAAGGTGGCAGACTCTGTGACTGAGGTGGAGCTGGAGGGGCTCACACCAGCGACAGAGTACACGGTAACCGTTTACGCTATGTATGGAGAGGAGGCCAGTGACCCCATGACCAGCCAGCAGACAACATGTGAGTCTCATTCTAGCGACTGAAACATGTTAAGATGATATCAGGGGAATTAAATGTTTCACATTTAAAGGAGCCAGGGCAAGAATTAGCTTGTTTCCATGTCAGGAGCTTTAAATTTATTGCAGGATGGGTGAGATTTAATCAGCAAAACCATGTAACAACAACAAGGTTATCGTTCTAATCATGCAACAGAATCAGATTAATAATTCAGACATTGCAAGTGCAACTCCTGTTAAAGAATGTGAGCATGTCATTGCTTTTATGGGTCATATATGACTAGGGCTGCAGCTATCGAATATTTTTGTAATCGAGTACTCTGTCGAATCTTTTATCGATTAATCGAGTACTCTAATAAATTACACTTTTGCGTTTTTAAACCATTATATCAAATAGCATGTTATAAAATATGAAAGACCTCTTGAAATGAGAAAGCAATTGCCAGTTATTCAAGTTTTATTCAAAATTAGTTTTCAAAACTTCAGCACTTCAACTTTACTTCACAGTAAACAGATGCGAGCGGCTGCGGCCCAAACAGCACCAGAACCGCTCACGGCGCATGCGCAAACATGGCTCGCCAGCTGTTTCCCTATTAACACAAGTCCGTTTTAATTTCTACACTTTTTTTGTCTCACACTAACAAGGATTGTCGAAAGCATGTTTGCCGTGGTTATGTCAAATTATACTGATCACAAAACATTTATGTACTTTCTTTCGTTTTCCTCCGCCACTCATAAACACCCGTGTCCTCCTGCAGCAATCCCGAGGGACAACGGACATCAATAACAACACAATAAAAAGTCCGACGTGTTGTAAAAACTGCTATTTTTAGCACATTTTAAGTCCGACGTGTTGCTACCAGACGTACGGTGTGAGCTGAAACTGAGTGCTACAAATGAAAAAGTCGCACAGTGTCTGCAGAACATATAGAAATACAGGTTAAAATGCATTATCTTGTAGAGGCTCCGAGTTCGCTTGCAGAAGTGACATTTACATGTGGATGTTTCCTGGTCAGGTTGCAGCATCGAGGAATATGGTGTGGTAGGCTAAATCCATTTTACAGTATTTACACTGGACTACGTTTTCCGCCTTACGACGGGAAAAACGGTCCCACACCTTTGACATTTTGTGTCTTTTTCGCACTCCACCGGGTAGGGCTGGGGGTAAACGATTATTTTTAAAACGATTATTCTGACGATTATTTTATCGAATAGTCGACTATTCTAATGACTATTTAGACAATTAATCTAATGATTATTTTTCTATTGCACAGTTAATAAAAACCAAAAAAATCTCTAATAAATTCCTCAAAAAAATTGATAAATTGTTACTGTAAGAGAATAAACACTACAGGCCTTCCATTTTGTATAACACTGCTTTTATTGTGTTGTGGTTGGTTATATTCTGGTCACATGTAGAACGTGGGAGTGCAGGCTGCTGCCTGAGAGGTGGTTGGAGACGGAGTGTCTCCATGCTGCTTTGTTTTGGTCACTTATGTGCGTGAGGCGAGTGGTGTTATGACTCTTCCTGGGGAGTTTGGCTCCTGTGCAAAAAGGAAGGGACAATAACACGGGATTTAAAAGTTAAAATGATGATCAGGTTTATTTACAACAACAAAAAAACATAAATCTTTCCATCCACAGGTTGGGAATAATAAAACTAATTCTGCCTGTGGGGAATTAAAACAAACGTACAAATAACTAGGAATGTCACACTGGGCAAAGATTACTGGGTTCTGGACCAAAATAAGCATCTCCAAAGGTCCAACTCTAAACTGGGTGGTTAAACCAAACTCAAGGTGATATTTTAAACTAAACCGAAAACCCACAACACTCTAAATGTAATAAAAGGGAGATCTGCACCACAAAACAGATGAACTCTACACCAAAACGTAACAGCTTATCCAAACGCAAGAAGCTGTTAGCGAAAATGCTAACAGTAGCTTTACCAACGTTAAGTTAAAGTTACCAAGTTTGAATAAACCAAAAACACCCAGCAAACAGACAGCACGGAGGAGAGACTGCTACCACCAAAACAGCTCTCCTAATGTCTGAAAGAAGCTCCTTTATGAATGGAGAAACGCTCCCGGTGATTTTCTACATCTGCGATAGAGACGGAGCAGCGCATTTGACCCCGGAAGTTGTTATCCGTTGCCGGGAGACGAGGGCGGGCAAAACAGGAAAGGAATCTAGTAGCGGGAAAACGTTGTTCCGGGTCTTCGGTATTTGGTGGAGATGTTAGTGAAGGCAGAGAAGAGGGCGAACTAGAGGAAAAACAGGCTGATTCCTCCTCTATTTACAAACTCTTGGGGATGCAACAAGTGGGCGCGGTGCGTCGACTTCCGGATCTGACGTCGACAAATTTTTAGAATCGAGCAGTCGACGTCATCGAGGCTTCGCAACAGCCCTACCACCGGGGTCCACGTTGTCCGCCATGGCTTAAAAGAAAGTTAAGTTGCGTTCGCTACTCGCGTGTGCATTCAGTGCAGTGTGTATGTGCGTCGCTTATTTCGGTCCGGGTGAAACGTGACCACGGGCGATTGCAAAGTCATGAATTAATTAAACATGAATTAAACGAAGCTTCGAGGCAGAGAATTTGACTCGAGGATTTTTTTGTACTCGAATTATTCGAGGTACTCGAGGAATCGTTTCAGCCCCATATATGACATAAACATAAGGTGTTTGTTTTCATTTGAAAGGTTGATGCCAAACAGTCTTACAAAGCAGGTCCCAACTCGTTACTGAGCCGTAAAATAAAATCTATTTAAACATAAAGTACAGGACTGTTTTATGAACTGTTGACACAGTTTTATTTTGAAAACTCTTATATTTTTACAACCCCGGGGTTATAAATCGCTGTCATTCCCACCTCTAAACTCACAAAACATTTAGATTCAGCTGCTGGCTTGGGATGAAACCAAGCGCCTCATTCAGGACACGTGTCTCTGCACAGAGATCTCTTACTTTGCTGATTAATGTTCTTTAGAAGAAGGCGGAAACGGCTTTCTAACCCAAACATTACAGCAGTTATTTCCCCTGATTGGCTTTTGCTCCCTACTTGAACATTTTCTAATCAGTGGAATCAGCTGCTGGGTTATATTTACTTTTCATTTGCACAATGTTTGATTGTAGTTGGTTAGCTCTTCCAGCACAGCTGCACCAAGCTCAAGTCACGTCCCGGATTTTTTTTTCTTAATTTTCTCGCCCTCAGACAAAACCAGCTGTCTGCCTTACCAAAATCCCTGCACAGCCCTGCTTCCAGCATCCACGTTTACAGCTATTTTCTGCACCTCACTCTCATTTGTTAAAGTTTTGAAACCTTGATTAGAGTATTTTCTTCTCTGTGCTGTCTCCAAGCCCCTCATCATTCTTACTAATTTATGTTTTATGAAGTCTCTTTTAAGGATTGAGGCTTGTGGCTTTAAGTCGAGGCATGTTTATGTTTTTACGACGCGCGTCAGGCTCTAAATGCAGGTCAGATGAGGTCGTGGCGGCCGCTGGAGGGAGACAGTGGCGGTTTTTGGGGCGAGGAGCTTGAGGTCACGTCTGAAATAAAGTTGCGACTCATTCAAGAAGAGACTTGATCCAAAAAAGTATAGAAAATAGATGAAAATAGAAAATAGATGGGGAAACGCTCAGAAAAAGCCACATAGATCTACGTCACATTCAGTAGCATTCATGGACTCACCCATCTGGCCTTGCGACGGGGGGAAAGGCTGTTGTTGATGTAGAGTCCAGGGGTAGAGTAGAGCACGTCCCAGCTAGTGAAAGCTAACTGTTAGCATTAGCAACTCCACCATTAGAACTCCTTCAGGTTTGTGTTATTTGTGGAGATTAAGCATCAACGTTGCAAAGCATTTGCCGTCAGCGGTAGAGTCATGTTGCTGTTATCCAATCATAAGTGAGATGTCCAAATATCATGAAATGATAATAACTAAGACTCCTAATCCTGCCGTTTTCTGGCCCCTACTTGTCCGGCTAACTTCTACTTCCTGAAACAGGAGCGCCAGAGCTTTTTTTCTACAATTCCATTTACTAGGCATGCATTTATACTAGAGTTTACTGCAAATGTGTTGAAATAACAAGTGAATGAGAGCTTCAAAGGTGTGGAACACACAGTATAATCAATGCGTTTTCAGTGGTCATTAGGAAGAATGAATGCCTTGTAAGTCATACTCTGGAGGGAAAAACCCCGGTGAACCTATTTCAGGAAATAGAAGTGAGCCACATCCGAGTTGTGCTTCAGAAGACAGGATTTGGTGTCTTATTTGTTGATATTTGGACATCTTGCTTCTGATTGGATAACAGCAATATTACACTATTACTGACTCCAACGTAGATTTTTTTTATCTCGACAAACAACACAAGCCTGGAGGAGTTCTGCTGTGTGGTGGGGTTGCTAATGGTAACAGTTAGCTTCTACTAGCCGAGATGTTCTCTGCTGTGTCCTGGACGATGAACCAACAACAGCCTTCCCCGTCTTGAGTCAAGATGGTTGAGTCCTTCATGTTAAGTGACAGTGTGATGTCACACTGTCAGTCTTTATAAATCCTAGAGTTTCACTGTCTATTTTCTATCGGAAGCTAATGCAGGAGATAGGTGTAGGAGACTATTTTCATGCTCAGCCTGCATGAGTGACCGATCAGAAATAATAATTAATATCCTTTAAATAAATATTTTTTACATGTGTTTGACTGATGAGATGTTATGATTAATAATTTTATTTTACCGTTTAAAAGATAAAATGAGGTTTTCTCTCCAGCTGATGCATCACATGATGCTTTCCACACATGTCCTAAGGTGCTCAGAATTTTCACTAATCTAATCTGCAGAACGGCTGCAAGAAATGAGCATATTTTCTCGGAAATTAACGTTTCCAAATATTTCCAACTATTGCAGCCCGATAAGATCCCTCACCCTAACCGTAAATCAAAGTTTGGGACGTCTGCATTAATTATGCAAGAAAAAGCAAGAAAAAAAGCCTCAGGATCAGATAAATAAATAAATAAAGCGAAATGCTCCAGTTGCAGTATGACATTTAAGGACGCCTCACTAAACTCCTGCCTCATATAAATGAGTCATTTCATCTAATGTATATTTTTATAGAGACATATGAACTGTGAAACTTTGCAGACTTTCCCATCTTTGAACTTTTTAATTTCCCATTCTGCTGACCCAGGCACAACTACAGCAGAAGCAGGAGCAGTATCTCCTTCCCTGCCTCAGTCGCGCTCCATCTTCCCGCTGGTTTGTCTTTGCTGTGACCCTCCATGTAATTGAGGTGAAGGAATGGTGGGAACAATCAGGATTTTTTCTTTCTTTCGGGAAAACAGATCAGTAATTCTGAGCAGAAAAGTTTCTAAGCATCGGAGTAAGTCTGACTCACCCGTTGAATATAAAAACGGTGAAGCTGAGAGTTTTTTTTGTGTGTGTGTGTGTGTGTGTGTGTGTGCCTCGAAGGCTACGGGAAAGAATTGAAGCGTGAGAGGAAGTTGAACCTGAGCCTGAGGGAGTGGCAGTGATGTGATGGGGTTCAGGCGGCTTTGCGATTAAAATAGTGGAGTCCAATAACTCAATAACTCCTGTCCTAAACCTTGATTGTGTGTGAGTGTGTGTGAGAGTGACGGTGGAATACTGAAAGTGTGACCCTTAATATCATGCTTATCTCCTTCTGCTGCTGATGTCTTCATTTAAACCTGGGTGACCCTAACCGAATACAGTATATTAATATTTATTTCTATTTTTGCAAAATTTCTCATTTGAATAGTTAAAAAAATATGTAAAGGCATCTCGGTGGTTTAATCTCTTGGTCATGTGATACGGCAGATTAAAGCTACGCAAGTAAAGTGTAAAACATGAAATACATTCTCTGAACCTTTTTCCCTCTTCCTTAGTACCACTAATCCCCGCAAGGAACCTCCAGTTCTCAGAGGTGGACCACAGCTCCGCCCGCCTCACCTGGGACTCCGCCTCCAAGTTGGTGAAAGGCTACCGCATCATGTACGTCAAGACGAGAGGAGTTCAGACCAACGAGGTGACCTTTTCCTGCAGATGTGATGATTCTATTAACACACTCTGTAGGAGCGATCCACCAAGTGCTGTTCTGTTTCTGCGTGCCCAGGTGGATGTTGGCACCGTGACATCTTACGTGCTGAAAAACCTGACCTCCCTGACGGAGTACACTGTTGGTGTTTTTGCCATCTATGTAGAAGGAGAGGCGGAAGCAGTGACTGAGAGCTTCAGTACAAGTAGGAGGAACAGAAACAAATGAATACATTTTTATAGGGATTAATATTGCATTTAGAAATTATTGTGTGTGTGTGCGTGTGTGCGTGCGTGTGTGTGTGTGTAGAGGTTGTCCCAGACCCGCTGGATCTTAAGAGCAGCGACATCTCCTCTGACAGCTTCAGGGTGTCATGGCGACACCCCGCCTCTGATGTGGTGGTGTATAGACTCATCTGGACACCCACAGAAGGGGGTGACAGTGAGGAGGTTAGTGTTGATCAAAATCTCACTTTAAAGGGAGCAGTCCACTTTGGTCTTGGCTGTGCGTAGTCTAGCCGTTAGCATATCAGTCCTGTCTGATGTAAACACCATTTTTCTGAATAGAGGGTTTTCAGGAAGCGTTGTACACAGAGTTTAAGCACTTATTTATATTTTTACACCAAAAACTACTTAAAAATAGCCAAAAATATCGCCTTGCATGTCATCTGATTTTTGAGACACACACACCTCTGAAAACCTGGTGAATGTGACTTTTTAGGAGAATCAGTTTGAAAGTTGATCAAACCCTAAATGAAAGAGTCTTTATGAAAGCGTAGGTAAAATCAATTCTATCCATGATATAAGGTGCTTTGATTGAGAGGATGGTTTTCCCCTTAGATCTTTCAGAAAGTACCCGGAGGAGTGATGCAGCGGCTGCCTTTTATGAGAGGGTTGTTGTGACCGTTCAGATGAACAGAAATGATCAAAGCCTTGTGATTTGGCCACTTTCCATTAAGCTTCTTAAAAGCTCTCTAGTAAAATGACCACAAGGAAGAAAGAAAAGCAGGTTTTCCTTTCTGGGAGCCAGTAAAAGAAAGGTCCACCCGTCTACTCTTTAACCCTGCAGCTTTAAGGTGTTGCAGGTCCATCTGATGGAGATCATGTCGGTGAAGATCATGTGTGGCTCCATCAGCTGACCCAGTTCAGAGTTTTGAACTGCATGTTTGTTAAATTTATTTTCATCCAAACCCCCAGATGCCTTGAGTCTCATGAAAGGGTTGATTTGATGAATCCCTCAACTAAAACCTGTTGGGAGGCATCCTTCCCTTGTTACGGCCTAACCGTCTCCCTGGAGACCCACAGGCAGCGCAGGATATTTTTATTTTTAGGTAAACTAATTAATTTAGTTGATTGTGTCTAATTAATGAAGAATTTTTAAGCATCTTAACTTTTTGCCATACATGTATTTTTTTTACTAAACTTGTATTAAAAAATTATTCATAAATATATTTTGATGCAATTATATAAAAAAGTACATGTTTGTGTCATAATTTCTTCAGAAAAAATGTTAAATACATAACCAAAAATTATTTTATTTAGTTACATCTTTTAATCTTTTAAGTGACAGGTCAACATCTTAGTAGATGACCTTTAGTTCCATTTCTCAGATTGAAGCTCCAAACTTTAAAAATATAATAATAAAATAAATTAATTCATTATAAAGTAAAAAGTATAGGCCCAACAAATTTAGCATTAATACCTTGTATTATTTTAACATTAATAAAAATATCATTGCTGTGATGATCTAATTTTTATTGCCTCATGTAAATAAAAATGCAGTTACTTCTTTTTCCCTTTTGGTTAAAGTCAGAGCTAAATTACTGTCAACCATTTTCCATATTAATTTAATTTAATTTATTAGCTTTTTTATACTAATATTATTACATTCGGTATTTCCTGAATACAAATATTCAATACTTTTATGTATATTTGTGGTGAGTATGTTTTACTGAGGCGGACCTTTATTTAGTGCTTGTTTATTATTTCTGCTGCACATTTGAAGCTAAATTATGAACTTTGAGTAAATAACTTCAAAACTGAATTTAAATATTTCTCTTATTGAATATTATGTAAATCAGGCTCTAACTCACCTGAAAGTCCCTCGTTGTAACCGCTTTCGTCTTTCCGGCCGTCCTTCGGAACAGTTATTGTCTGATTTCTTTGTTTCAGACTTTGGTGGATGGGGACGTTAACACCTACGTCATTAAAGGGCTGAGTCCTGAGGCTGAGTATGAAGTCCTCCTGGCTGCCATCTATGGGAATGAGGTCGAGAGTGATGAGGTTGTTCTAATGGAAACCACCGGTAAATTAAATATGGCCATTAAAAAATACATATAACTAATAATTAAGATGTATATTTTCAGTAATTTGGTTACGTTTGCTTAATGACGTTTCTGATTTCCAGTAAATATTCTATAAATTAACTGTTTCATCGAGCTGATTAACTGAGTTCATTTTTATGTCCTTTTACAGCTAAAAGAACTACAACTGTTGCTACAACGACCACGACGGTAGCGAGTAGGTATACTATTAGCCCGGGCTTTCCACCGGATGCGTTTTCGACGCGTAACGTAGTAAACGTGTTTATCCTGCTCGCTCGGCAGCGTGTCCCTTGCCCCCAGGAGCGTTTTGGACATGAATCAGCAGTGAAAACATTCCACGAAGTTGGATCATGACGTCATGAAAATGCCAAAGAATTTCAAGATCACATGTGAATTTGTTAGTTTAGTCAATAAACAAGGAGAAAGATGGCAGCATGTTTGCAAAAGGTCTTAAAAAGTTGGTTCTCTGTTATTTTTAACTCTGCAAGGGAGGCGTCGCAGATAATGATGGTTTTTTTAGTAGTTGAGAAACAGGAAATCGACATGTTTTTTATTTTGAAAGTTACCGGATTGTTTACACTGCTTCTGTGTTTTACTTCCTGTCTGGCCTGATTCAAACAGTTAAGGTTGATGTGTTCTGGAAGTGTAGCAACCAAAAAATTAGCCTGGCCTGCCAGACTCCTCCTCCGTTAAATTCCGCACAGAGAAAGAGTCTGGGAACTCTCCTGTTCAAATAACCCCACCCCTGAGAATTCTAACAGAGCCAATCAGCGCTGAGTAGCATACATCACACAACACAACGCCGAGTTTGTCGTAAACATGGTGACTGAAGTGGAGTTCGCTGCGGCTCTTTCCTTTGTTCTAAATGATTTGAACATGTCTTTAAAACCACAACAAGTAGAAGCACTAAAAGCATTTATTCTAAACAAAGATGTTTGCGCTGTCGCCAGATTCCATTTTTACTACAGCGAAAAAAAAAAACTACAGCGTCGCAGACGTCACCCACGGCGGGGCTCAGTTTCTCATAAACAACGAAGACAGCGGCGGCGACTCTTTCCTCTGTTCTAAATGACTCAGATGTCTTTAAAACCACAAGTAGAAGAGCTAAAAGTATTTCTTCTAAAAACATAAAAGATGTTTGCGCCATTGCCAGACTCAATTTTTTTTACTACAACTAGAAATCTACCGCGTCGTGCGGTACAGTCGGGATTTCCGTCTTTTTTCTGATTGGTCATTTTTGAGCTGCCTAGTCCCGCCCCTCAAGTGCCTGTCTGCCTGTGAGTTACCAGACTCTTTCTCTGTGCAGAATTAAACAGAGGAGGAGTCTGGCAGGCCAGGCTACCAAAAAATAGGCTCAAAGCTCAAATTTAGGAAAGTGATGCGACACCACGCACACGTGTTCGGTGGAACGCCGGGGTTACGCTTACTCTGATGTTTTTAACTATATAAGTGATTTTTCTATCTCTTCTCTTGTTTTGACTTTTGCAAATCATCTACTAGACAACAAATTTCATAAAACAAAACTCGAACATGTCATAATTTGGGTTAGTAGTCAGTTCTTTTGCCAAATTATCCAAAGTAGGTTTAAAAATGTGAATCAATTCGACCTCTGTCCTGTTTCTTCATTGCAAGTGAGTATATTCATCTTCAGACTGGAAGCTTATCTTCCATCATGAGGCTTTCTGATATTTTCAGCAGGAAACTTTTGATACTAACAAAACACTGATAAGTTTGGAGCAAATTAAATGTCAACACATTTTATCATTTAATTCCCCTCAGATAACGTCACCGTTTGGTGCTTCTATCAGTTGTTTGACTCTGATCTGCTCTGTGATTTTATTTATCTGCTATTCGATCTTTCTCCATCTTTGATCCTGAAGCTCCTCGTTTGGGTCTGAGGAACATGAAGATCGATGAAGAAACAACGTTTAGTATGCGTGTGTCATGGCAGGCCGTGGACTCCAGAAATGTCCGTCATTATCGACTGACCTACGTCACTGCAAAAGGAGACAGAGCTGAGGAGACGGTATGGAACAAGTGCTGTCTTTTTTGTTTTTATGAGAAATGGATTTAAAAACCATCTGTGGTGTAATTTGAAAGATTAGAAATGAAGAAGAGATGTCAAAAACAGAGTTTGAGGAACTATGAGTGTGAAAAAACTGAGCTAGCCCATTTACTGTTCAACCATTTTTTTTTACCTGAATGACCAAAGAGTGCTGCTCAGATGAGGTCCAGTTAAAGATTCTGTCTGGACATTTTCTTGGGTAGACCTCGGGACACGAGGAGAAATGCCCAAAACACTTTGGCAAGTCATAATACACCACATGCTTTTGTAAAAACTGAGATTAAAAGGATACAAAGGGACACGAATTCACTAAAATACCATAAATCACATATCAAAATAATCCAAAAATAGGTCAAAAGCTCTTGCAGTTTAAAATCAAGATGTCCTCCTAATCTGAGCAATGAGCCAGTGATGACAAGTTGGTCTAGAGCAGATATCTGGAAGGGTCAACAGTTTAAAACAGAAATTAAGTTTTTTTTTTCTCCGACGGCACTATAGAGGCTAAGAAATGCACGTTATGTCCCTTTCCTTACTTCCTGAAGCAGGCCGGAATGCCTGGACAACAGTTGTCGTCCGTGACTTCAGATGGTGTTATACTTTTTGAGACTCTGGTAAAGTTGAAGTAGTAGCAGCCTGCTGTTTCTCCTTCTCTGATATTATTGAGCAGAGATCCTCACACACCAGTGGTGTTCTGTTGCAAAGGGGGTGAGTGCATAATGAATGGAGGACCCAGGGAAGTGCAGACGCACGGTCGTTTGGTGAGGCCAACAACCGGATGGTTTTATAGTTGTCTTGGGTCTGAGATGTGCAACTGCTGGAAGGTTTTAGACAAATGCACGAGAACCACTTCATTACTTTTTTTTCTCCTTAATATCTTATTGCTAGACTATGTTAGAACTATAAGAGACAAAATGTTTTAAGCTAGCTTGTTCTGTAGAATTGCTACTAGCTGCTTAATGGATAATCCTATAATTTTACTTTCTGACACAAGTTTTTTTTTAAATGATCAAGATTCCTTCAACCAAGCCAAATATCTACTGTCACAATGTTTTAGTGTCATTGACTTAAACAAGGAAGTACTGCCTTGACATGATGAATCTTTTGGCAGTTTTAACCTATTTTTGGTTTTATAGACATTTATTTTACACGTTTGGAGGTTTCTGCAGTCAGAGGCAAGTTGGAAATGTACTTTCATCATCACAACAATATCTGAGCAGTAAAAGTCCACAATGGACCAGATGGATTGACAAACACTGTCAATGTCCAGCCAAACAGATGAAAGGTTTGAAGTTTTTAATGGAGATAAAATTAGGAAGAAGAGGATTAAAGTGATGAAAACAGCATCAGATCTTCAAAGACTTTCTTTCATTAGACAGCGAGAAAACTGGAGAAAGAATAACTGATAGCACGCTAATGAGCCACAGGAGAGAAGCCGATCATATGAGGATGTAGAAAAAACAAAGTCTGATGCAAAAGCACAGCTCTGCTATGTGGAGGTTTACTTAACGTGTGTTTGTCGTGTTCACACACAGCAGGTATCGGCAGGTTTGGCAGGCAGACATTATCACAGACTACTGTTAAAATCAACTTGTGTTGTCTAGAGTAGTTCAAGTAATGAAGTTACATTATGCAAAATGCTCGGGATGCATTGGACAATTTTGACATAAATTGAAGCTATTTTGTCTTTTAAGGCCAGTGAGATTGGTGGGATGAAAACGTCGTCGTCGTCTTCCTCCGCTTATCCGGGTCCGGGTCGCGGGGGCAGCATCCCAACTAGGGAGCTCCAGGCCGTCCTCTCCCCGGCCTTGTCCACCAGCTCCTCCGGCAGGACCCCAAGGCGTTCCCGGACCAGATTGGAGATGTAGCCTCTCCAACGTGTCCTGGGTCGACCCGGGGGCCTTCTGCCGGCAGGACATGCCCGAAACACCTCCCCGGGGAGGCGTCCAGGAGGCATCCTGACCAGATGCCCAAACCACCTCAACTGGCTCCTTTCGATCCGGAGGAGCAGCGGTTCTACTCCGAGTCCCTCCCGAATGTCCGAGCTCCTCACCCTATCTCTAAGGCTGAGCCCGGCCACCCTACGGAGGAAACTCATTTCAGCCGCTTGTATCCGCGATCTCGTTCTTTCGGTCATTACCCAAAGCTCATGACCATAGGTGAGGATTGGGATGTAGATCGACCGGTAAATCGAGAGCCTGGCTTTCTGGCTCAGCTCCCTCTTCCCCACGACAGATCGACTCAGCGTCCGCATCACTGCAGACGCCGAACCAATCCGCCTGTCGATCTCCCGATCACTCCTACCCTCACTCGTGAACAAGACCCCGAGATACTTAAACTCCTCCACTTGAGGTAGGACCACTCCCCCGACCCGGAGTTGGCAAGCCACCCTTTCCCGGTCGAGAACCATGGTCTCAGATTTGGAGGTGCTGATCCTCATCCCAGCCGCTTCACACTCGGCCGCGAACCTACCCAGCAAGAGCTGAAGGTCGGAGCTGGATGAAGCTAGGAGGACCACATCATCCGCAAAAAGCAGAGACGAGATTCTCCTGCCACCAAACTCGACACACTCCACACCACGGCTGCGTCTAGAAATTCTGTCCATAAAAGTGATGAACAGAACCGGTGACAAAGGGCAGCCCTGGCGGAGTCCAACCCTCACTGGGAACAGGTCCGACTTACTACCGGCTATGCGGACCAAACTCACGCTCCTCTGGTAAAGGGACTGAATGGCCCTTAACAGAAAGCCACCCACCCCATACTCCTGGAGCGTCCCCCACAGGGTGCCCCTGGGGACACGGTCATAAGCCTTCTCCAAATCCACAAAACACATGTGGATTGGTTGGGCAAACTCCCATGCCCCCTCCATCACCCTTGCAAGGGTATAGAGCTGGTCCACAGTTCCACGGCCAGGACGAAAACCACATTGCTCCTCCTCTATCTGAGATTCAACTATCGATCGGACCCTCCTCTCCAGTACCTTGGAGTAGACCTTTCCAGGGAGGCTGAGGAGTGTGATCCCCCTATAGTTGGAACACACCCTCAGGTCACCCTTCTTAAAGATGGGTACCACCACCCCAGTCTGCCACTCCCTAGGAACTGCCCCCGATGACCACGCAATGTTGTAGAGACGTGTCAGCCATGACAGCCCTACAACATCCATAGCCTTGAGATACCCAGGACGAACCTCATCCGCCCCCGGGGCTCCGCCGCTGTGTAGTTGTTTGACTACCTCAGCAACTTCTGCCCCCGAGATCGGACAGTCCATCCCCAGGCCTCCCAGCTCTGGTTCCTCCTCGGAATGCGCATTGGTGGGATTGAGGAGCTCCTCAAAGTATTCCTTCCACCGTCCGACTATAGCCTCAGTTGACGTCAGCAGCTCCCCATCCCCACTGTAAACAGTGTGAGCGAGTTGCTGCCTTCCTCTCCTGAGGCGCCGGACAGTTTGCCAGAACCTCTTTGGAGCCGATCGATAGTCTTTCTCCATGGCCTCACCAAACTCCTCCCACGCCCGAGATTTTGCCTCGGCAACTGCCACTGCTGCACCCCGCTTGGCTATCCGGTACCTGTCTGCTGCCTCCGGAGACCCACAGACCAGCCACGCCCTGTAGGCCTCCTTCTTCAGCCTGACGGCTCCCCGAACCTCTGGTGTCCACCAGCGGGTACGGGGGTTGCCACCACGACTGGCACCGGCCACCTTACGACCACAGCTAGCACCAGCCGCCTCGACAATCGCAGAGTGGAACAAGGCCCACTCGGACTCAATGTCCCCCACTGCTCTCGGGACGTGGTCAAAGCTCTGCCGGAGGTGGGAGTTGAAGACCGTCTTGACAGGTTCTTCTGCCAGGCGTTCCCAGCAGACCCTCACTATGCGTTTGGGTCTGCCAGGTCTACGCGGCATGTTCCCTTGCCATCTGATCCAACTCACCACCAGGTGGTGATCAGTTGACAGCTCCGCCCCTCTCTTCACTCGGGTGTCCAAAACATACGGCCGCAGGTCAGATGATACGACTACAAAATCTATCATCGACCTGTGACCTAGGCTGCCCTGGTACCAAGTGTACCGGTGGGCCTCCTTATGTTCGAACATGGTGTTCGTTATGGCCAAACTGCGGCTTGCACAGAAGTCCAATAACAAAACACCGCTCGAGTTCAGATTAGGTGGGCCGTTCCTCCCAATCACACCCCTCCAGGTCAAGCTGTCATTGCCCACGTGAGCATTGAAGTCCCCCAGCAGGACAATGGAGTCCCCTGATGGAGCACTATCTAGCACTCGTCCCAAGGACTCCAAAAAGGGTGGGTACTCTGAGCTGATATTTGGCCCATAAGCACAAACAACAGTCAGGACCCGTTCCCCGACCCGAAGGCGCAAGGAAGCTACCCTCTTGTCCCCCGGGGTAAACCCCAACACACAGGCAGAGAGTCTCGGGGCTAACAAAAAGCCAACCCCAGCCCTCCGCCTCTCACCCGGAGAAACTCCAGCAAAGTAGAGTGTCCAACCCCTCTCCAGGTCTCGGGTTCCAGAGCCAATGCAATGTGTCGAGGTGAGTCCGACTATATCTAGCCGGTACCGCTCAACCTCTGCCACAAGCTCCGGCTCCTTCCCCGCCAGCGAGGTGACGTTCCATGTCCCAAAAACTAGTTTTCTTGTCCGGGGATTGGACCGCCAAGGCTCCCGCCTTGGTCTGCCACCCGATTCGCATTGCACCGGACCCTTCATGTTCCTCCTGCGGGTGGTGGGTCCACAGTTGGACGAGCCCATGTATCCGGTTCGGGCTGGGCCCGGCCGGGCCCCATGGGCGAAAGCCCGGCCACCAGGCGCTCGCTCACGGGCCCCAACCCCAGGCCTGGCTCCAGGGTGGGACCCCGGTAACCCTCCGGGCCGGGTACTCCAACTCTTCGTTTTAACCTCCATGAAAGATCCTTCGATGAAAACAACAAATCAAAGTCAGCATAGTTGTACT